GTAAAAGTGAAACATATTACTTTAGTTATAAATGTATTTATGTTATATACGTTGTTTATTTCTACGTATAGGATAGCTTTTAATATAAAACTAATAATCCCATTACTACCAATGTAATCTTGTGTAACTTAAGCAGAGACCCGTTTGTTTTATATAATTTTTGAGTAATAAATGAAAAATTTCTCTTTTATTGAGAAACCTTACAACAATTAGTAAGCAAATATATTATAAGCATTTTCCAGTGACCCCGAATATTTTAGATTGAAGAAAACTTGATATTATTCCAAGAGTAATATGCCAGTAACGCATATTTACATCCTGTAGGAAAACGTGCACAAACAAATATACGTAATAAAAATGATAAAATATATGTGATATACACTCTAAAAATATGTAAGGTATATATATATATGCTGATATTATATGTTTCTATGAGTTTGCCGATGTGTGTGGAATTGTAGGAAACAGAATCTTTTCTTCGGTTTTTGATTTTGTTTTTCAATACGTAATTTTTCAGTAAAAAAAAAGAAAATTTATCCAACATTTCCTACAATCTTGAGGCATATAAGGATTCGTTAGAAAGTATCGATAGGAAATATGTGTTCTAAATAATAGAAGAAAATAATATGATATCGAATATATAATTGAAATTAACATAATAACTTTAAAATAAATAAATTAACAAAAATACGAAGGCATGAATGAAGTTAGAGTTCTTTGTCTTTTGTTAATCACAAAGTTACACAACGGGATATTTGTACTTTGTCCACCGCTAGTATCGAAACACGATTTTTAGCGTTATAAGCTATCAGACCTACTGCTGATCTACCAGGCGTTTACGAATTGAAAAATAGTTTTATATTATGTTGGTAAGTTTTTCTTTATCTTCACCATACACAGAAAGTAAAGCATAAATTCGTTATTTTGTTTCAAAAGCCTTCCATACATGTGATAATTTCATTATGAAAATTCACTAACATCTGTTTGAAAAAACATTAATATATAGCCATGTTAACCAAATTTGTATACTGATCAAACATTTAATGTAAGAACAGTTTCTCCTTCAAGTACGCTTGATTAAAAATCTCAGTATTTCTTAAAACAAGACTACAAGAATCACAAAATTGTCATAAATGGTTTTGTTTTCGGAACATGAAAATATTAATTTTACATTGTAATTTCAACAAATGCTCAGTTATTTAAAACACTCTCAATGCAAATAATTTAACAATACAATATTTTATCTTGAATTAATTATTTTTTTTAAATTATTACTGTAGTTCGACGGCATGCCCCTAGGTGGCTCAACGATAAAACTGTAGGGCTTATTGTGCTAAAAATTGTGGTGGGCACAGCGCAATTGTTTATTGTGTAGTTATGCACAAACTGTTTTTTTTTTTTCAAAAAAAAAGACGAGTTTTCAAAAAAAAATGTTGTTACTTTCTATCGATAATAAATAAAGTACACCAAAAATATAATACTGATTTCTGAAGAACTCATTATGATACTAACCTGATGATGATTACAAAACCGTGTCGAAACGTTGAACATTTATCATCGTGTTAAAGTTGTAAAAAAAAAATGTTCGTTACCCATTCAAGCTGTCTCTATACTTTATAACAACATTTAATTCTTTATTCCTACAGTTTAATCATTTAATTATTTTCTTTCCTATGAAATATATATTATCAGGATAACAAACATAAATATAGTCAGGGGTCCATTTGCAGTGAACATTTTTAAGTGTTGTATAGTATAGACATTCATTTTATCCGAATATTATAAAAGTAAACTTAAGTTATATTCCCCCAGCATCAGTTTTTGAACTCGGTGCCGTTTTATATAGAATCGAATTATTTCAAACGGTACTTGATTTTTTACACAAACTAGCAGTTACCTGCAAGACATTTGCGGCCAAATTAGTATTTTTATTTTTAAATACAGGATTTCTAGAGTAATACAAAATAATTCTAATCACAGACATTGAAATCTATACATCCACCTTGTCTTAATCCTAACATTAGTTAAGCCTTTATTAAGTACGGCCTACATTCGATAAAGAGATAAATTGACACTGTAACTTCTGTACGTTTTTTGTTTTAGTTCAGATGGGGCTAAACCTTACCTTACTTAATACAATTAATAAATAATCTTGTAATATTATTCTACGATCTAATGTTAGACTTTTTTTTAAACTTTGATAAGCTTTTAATATATTGGATAAAATGTATACTAAAGCATATTTACGTCCTTTCTGGCGTAACTCGACCATTTAACAAAGATACGTTTTCAAATTGCGAAAAAGGTGCATTTTTTATATTTTTTTTACATTTTAGTCCAAGTATATCATTAATTTTCGATTAATCGTAGATTACTCGCTTCTAATTTACTTGAAGCCAAATTACTTAAGTTACGTATTAAATTGCTGTGACCATCAGTGTATGGCCAAGAGACAGACAGAAGATACACACTGTGTTTGATAGTATTAGATAGTTATCTTTATATTTCACTATCATAAACTATTATTATCTCTATGTATTTTCAAGAAAACTAGTGAAATAATGAAACCTTACAATTACAAATTTGGCTTAGGACCAAAAAAAAGGGATAAATATAAATGTTGATAGATTTCATGAATAACAGTAAAAGAATAGATGACAATCCAAGGAATATATTTGTT